CAGTGGCATGTAATTACCTGAAGTCAAGTGCGAAATTGCCATCACACAGTTACACACGTGGATAACTGCGAGCATTCACACAGAATGAACATCGAGGCTGCATTAAAGGGGGAAAATAGGCCACTATTTGATGGTTCATTGAGGGTGATATAAGGTCTGTCCATAATGTGGGCGCGAACATTTTTACATTCGCTTATTTAGCTGCCAGACCTATGTTCTTGAGCCTCAATGGTTCTTGAGTCTGGAGTGCTAAATGATAACACACATGGGCGTCGCGAGGGAAGGGGGGGGGTCAAGGGGGCGCTTGCCTCTTCCCCTTGGAAAAGACACACACACGTTTGTTTATGGTGTAAAATCGAGGATTTTCTTTCGTTCCAATTCCGTTTTCCTTTGTTTGTACTTTACATTTTTTTGTCATATTTGGATAGAGTTTAACATTTTTTTCATCTACCATGTGGCGGCCATCTTGGATTTCAAAATGGCCGCCATTTCGGACCTAATTCGTATCATAACTTCGGACCTGATTGTCACATTAAGTTCATTTTGGTGGCAAACCCTATGTTTTTGATACCAAGGAACCCAAGTAAATCAATGTGGATGGGGTATTCCAAACGGATGGCAGCCATCTTGGATATTTCAAAATGGCCGCCATTTCGGACCTAATTTGTATCATAACATCGGACCTGATCGTCATATGAAGTCCATTTTGGTGGCGAACCCCATGTGGATCTCCTGCATGTGACACAGACCTTTTTACAAAATCTGAAACATGAAAATTGAGCAAAATCTGGCAGAATGTGTACCTCTGGTCCCTTTAAAAAAGGGAGCTCACGCCTTGGTAAATGCCAAAGGGCTTACAAAAATGCGTCAACATTTTTCAAAAAAAATCGTTCAACGGCCCAGTATAACTTCGGATTTCAAATTAATGTTTAATTTGAATTGAAGCCGCTGCGACTTTTCCATGTTTCAGTGCAAAAACCACCCCGGCTACGAAAACACATCACCGCTCGCTTTTAACGGGATTGGCGAATAATGCCAATGCGTTAAAACAGTTGACCGCCATCGTGGAAGTTGAGATTGCGAACTATCTTGGACGTAGCCATATAAGGACAACGCATACGTCATGGGTGACGTTTGTGCTGTTCTTATAATGCCTACGTCCAAGATAGTTCGCAACCTCAGAACAAGGGACCAATAAAAGTCCATAAGCCCAAGTTCACCTAGCATTGCTGATATCGTACGTCAAGTCATGTGGTTGGCCTTTTACAAATCGACCTTTATGAAATAAGTTAATACACAATCCGTTTGAGTTTGATAGGGGTGAGGCTGGGCTGCACTTTGAATTTCTGAGTTAATCATTTGCAAAATCAAAGTTATTGATAAACGAGGTCATGTTTTGTTTCCATGGAAACGAGGCAAGCACCAAACACGGTGAACTATAAGAGCCATTTGTTTGTTTATGTACAGGATATGTTAGAAACGTCGTGCGGAATAATGGGAACATTCATACCAAATATGGAAAACAGCAATAAGCGAAGATTGATCAAAAAGGTCGTAAAAAAGCATTAGAAAAGATGACCCCTATATGGCTATTTATTAATTACTTTTAATTAAAAGCAATATTTAAAAATCATTTTTTTTTCGGTAGGGGTTTGGGATGGGAAGATTTCTTAAGATGGAATTATTTGCGTCATCGTCATCATGTTATTCCAAATTGAGGTTTTTGCCCCTCACCGATATGCTCAGTGTGTTACCTCCCGAGTTAAAGCACACACTAGAGTACACCCATCCGCCAAGGCTTAACAATGTCCCTCCATATTGTCGACTAGGGGCGTCAGTCGCTTCTCAAAATTGGGGTTGGGGGACATACCTTGATTAGAAATAATGCAAGCGCGAAGTGCGAAGCCCTTACAGCGTGGGGTTCGGGGCCTGCTTAAGGGCCCCGAAAAAATTCGGATTATTGTTCTAGATGCTCATGTGGTGTGATCTGAGGCAATTTCTGACTACTTTAACCAATATTTTCTGAGCAAAAGATAATGATTTAAAGATCATTTTCGAGGTTGAAGTCATTAAATAAGCTATTATATTCTCAGCTAAAGGCGTAGGGTTCGGGGCCCGCTTAAGGGCCCCGAAAAAAATATTGATTCTAGATGCTCTGTGGTGCGATCTGAGGCAATTTCTGACCAATTTAACCAATATTTTCCAAGCAAAAGATAAAAATTTCAAAATAATTTTTGAGTTTGAAGTCATTGAATAAGCTATTATATTCTAAGCTAAAGGCGTGGGGATCGGGGTCTGAGGGCCCCGAAAAATGTTGGATTCTAAATGCTCTGTGGTGCGATCTGAGGCAATTTCTGACCACTTTAACCAATATTTTCTTAGCAAAAGATACAATGTACTACATAATAGGGCCCTGTAAATGAGGCACGAGTTCAAAAATATGGGGGGAGGGGAACATTTGATATTGTGTCCCCCACCCTTCAAAAGTGGGGGGGACATGTCCCCCTGTCCCCCCCCCCCCCCCCCCAGGATTGACGCCCATGTTAGTCCACCAAAAGAAATACCTGCATATCCACTGGACTTGTATATTTTAGTGCACATTGCCTGTGTTGGTCTACCTTTCCACTCCATCATTGTTTAAAATGGTCTAGTCCATTGACCTGTGTGGTTAGATTAGGTGGGTGATGAGGCAGGGTCACCGGGTAAGTGCCACACTCATGAATCTGCTCACACAGAGCGATCAGGTGAACGTTTTCGTTACGACGGATGAAGAATCCTTTAAAAAAATCCTCCATCCAGAACCAGATCCGGATCACTTCCAAACTCTAATCGATAACTTGAAGCAATCACTACCCCTAAACTTTTTTCATGCAAATCCGTTCAAACTTATGAGTAATCTTGTTAACAGACAAACCAATCAACCAACTTACAAAAAAAACCAAATCCGATGGAAACACAACCTCCTTGGCGGAATGGCAATAGGCCGTGCTACAAATGTACAATTTAGGATGTGATGAGATTCGAATTTTTACGAATTTGAAAGTGTCCTGGTAAACAACAATAATAACTACAACGCAGAAACGGAAGGTATAAGATGGAAAGTAACTAGTTACATCAATTCATCAGTACAGAGCAACTCCACATTCCTCAACTAACCTGACCTAACCTTTCTTTGGCACTATTGAGACTTTGGCACGTAACAATGGCGTTTTGACGAATGAATATGATAAATAGCGACAAATAAGGTATACAAAGTTCATTGACCTCCATATGAAGTCGAGGGGTACGGGTCAACGCTGTTCACCACATCAACAGGGATCAACAATCGTGCTGGACACATGATGGGATAGATGTGGAAAGAAACTGGCAAGATGTATCCGCAGCTAGCTTCACATGAACATTGCAAATTGACTGAACTTGATTAGAAATCGAACTTGATTTATAAGAATTAGGAGCCAATTGCCGTGAGCCTGCAACCTCGTCCCCAGGGTGTCGAGCAGTACGCGCCCACCACTACCTGCTCTCCCACCCTGGTATTGGATCATTTGCATGTGCAAGATTTTTGCACACGTATGCAAATGAGGAACAGTCTGGTGCCTGGCTATGCGTTACACATTAGCGTTTGTTTTTGTATGCGGTGTCTGGGGTAAAAACAGAGTCGATTCGTAGCAGCGCGAGTTTGGCGTGAGTTACGAAAACACGATTTTTGAAATCAAACTGTTACGATCTTATCGAGTCAACATGCAGTATCATATTTCATATTAATATGAGCAAATTGGAAAGGAAATTAGTATTTTCGAGAAGGCGTGGACGAATGACCGCGAAACCACGTACTGCACGTTGTGAATAATATAGCACCAAGTACACGATAAAAATCCATTACTAGCCAATTGCGGTATCCAATCAGGATACAGGAAGAAAGTTTCCTATCCAGGGTTTACTATTGGAAACACGGTTGGAAATAAAGTAAGCACTGGGGACGAGGTTGCGTGAGCCTGTTTATTGAATTCGAACTGACAATAACTGAATCATGGGAACTAAACATTATGTGCAAATTTAGAAACAAATACAAATCCGTCAAAATATAGTAATTGTCTTTCGTGAATCATTTATATTTGTATAACAGTTTTCAACGTAATCACAAGTATTGTGTGAGCCCGATTCACTTCTCCACCAGAACTTGGTGTAATTCACGGTGAACACGATAAACACGATAAACACGACACACTTGGAACGCAACATAATGACCATAATAGCTTGAGTAACTCCAGCTGACATGCTCATCAGGCATTCACATGTAACGCTGGAGACAGAACTACGTTGTAAAAGTGAGATCGTAACTAAACGGCCTCTGCAAAATGGTCCTTTGTGGATGCCGTTTTTTAGGGTCTCTGACGATCTCACTTTTACAACGTAGTTCTGCCCCCAGCGTTACATGTAAATTGATGAGCATGTCAGCTGGAGTTATACTCAAGCTACATATGACCATAGACATAAAGAACCTAGGTTCTTTATGTCTATGGTTCCCCGTTTATTTTTTGCTATGACGTAAGGGAAATCCCATTTACTGCCGCGATGGTTCGTATTGTCGCCCACTTTCAAACTCTTGCTCAAATTCAACAAGTCTTTTCTCAAAGATAACTACTACAGACGCTTTTCTGAGATAAGTGGACATTTCATATTGTATTTAATAATACAAACTGACAAAATTTCGTCATGTTTGACATGGAAAACACCTAAAGTTGAATGGTTCCGCTGCCTCGACATGCTCGAGTCGTAGGTTCGTGCAATAAACAGCCATGACTGCATTAGTTGTTTGTCATCCATACCCATGATGCAATGCGAATATTCAATCAGGTTTATTAAGAGTCCCACATTTTCAGACGAGGCTTGCCTTGCCTTGATCGTGGGTGGGTTTAAAAATCTGTTAACATTCACAAGATTAGTAATATTAACGAACATAATGTGAAGAGCATTTTTCATTGATAATTGACACGCAGGACTTCCGTTTGTGGCTGAGTGATCTGGAGCAGCCTGCCATCAGACTATCACTCAGTGTACCTACCACGATGCAACAGGAGGCTCAGGTACCCGCCCCCTCTGATGCAACAGGTGAGTACGTAGTAGCTAGTTGCTTGGAGCACGGAGGAAGGAATGAATAGTTGCTTGGAGTCAATTTATAACATTACTGGGGAGTGGAAGGTCATTTACCACCCTCCCCTCTCTCAAGTTGTTTTTAGTCATAGCTTGATTTTTCATGTACTTCTTTTTTTATGAACAGTCAGATGAAAAAAAAATCCTTTTAAACTTATAAGACAGTGTTTCCAAGTACAGACGACAATTGGAGATGGAATCAAGTACATGAATCATTTTAGCGGTTCTTGTTTTTTAAAGGATGTTTTACTTTTTGCTTCTGCTTGTAGGTTCCCCACAACCAACTGGAAGCATCGGAAACATGGGCACAGTCAGCGGGAACAACAACCCTACCATTGTTGGTTCAAGTGGAGTAAATATCAATTACAACTTCCCGTTGGAGGGACCTGGTAAATTTAATCTTGCTTGTTGAGATGAAAGCAATTCTATATCCAATCAAGTGTAAATGATTTTTTTTTTGGTCGGTGGGGGAGGTTATACTACATAACCATGGAAACAAAAGACTGATTGACAGTTCCGCTAGGTAGAGAGTCGCCATTTTCTTTGGCACAACTATAAGCCAGTTCGATATATGGTGGATTCAATAGGAGGGCGCTGTTTATAGTGGTTAAGTCTTGTAATTTGTTCCTCTATTTACCCACAAGGCAACAACAGAAAGCGCCCTTATGTGTTCCTCCTCTGTAAAGGGCTAAGTTGCACATGAATATTGCATCTATACATGACTGACTATAATAAGCTATTAAATAGCAAAACAGGAGTAATCTTGGGCCAAGTTCGGGCAGGGACCATTAGTCGACTAGTGGTTGATTTGTGACGTACCTTACGCCTGCGCACTGGTAGCAACGTGCGAACGTCTCTAGTCAAACGCTGGTCAAAATGTCATCGCAAAACTTCTGGATCCTGGCTTTCTGCTAGCGTTATGAATGCGCGCGGCTATTGGTTACCAGCGAAGCAACCAACCCCAGTAGGCTAGTTCCAAATAGTCGACTAGCGTAGTCAACCATCGTCGACTAGTCAGAGTTCGGGCAAACGTTAGTTAACCATTGGTCAACTATAGTCCTTGCGCGAACTTGGCCATGGAACGTGAGCTTTTTTTATAAACTTAAAAATTGATATTGACTTCAACTTATCATCAGTCAGAATTCAAAGATTAGGAACCGTATATGACTAATTATTTTGGAGTGAAGTGATTACCACCAGAAGATTATTGCTGTTGTCTGAGTCAATATTTGGATAATGATGTCCAATTAACTTTTGTGTACACCTGCGGTTACCATTTTTTGGTCTGAATCTATTTTGTCCGTGTTACAAGAAAAGTGAATGTTCTACATGTCATTGAATAAAGCACAACTTGACAAGGTTGTGTCTAACAGCTTGCATTTATTTATTTATTTTATAAACTGCCTTACTAACGCACTTGCAATCCCAAGTCATCATTTCTTTTACATATTTTCTACGTCTTAGACTGACATGTTTCTTGTTTTTATCTGAATAGGATTGCCTGCATCAAGACCTCAGCTTAGTCAGAGCCCGGACCAAGACCCAAGGCTGGGGGCTCCTAGCTACCAAGAAGCTGGTAACAAGATTAGGGACATTTTGAAGGGAGTTTATAAAACAACAGGCAGTTACGTGCAGTTGCTGCCTAGGGTGGATAATGACCAAATGCACATAGCTGGTATATACACAAAAGTACAGTTAGAAACACTGGAAGGGGTAGCAGTTGTTACTGGACAGAAAAGAGAATCTGTAAACTCAACAGAGTATGCAAAAATATTCCTACTAACAACAAGAACTGGGGAACTCATAAAACGCCTCATTTTCTTTGGCATGGGAGGTGTTGGGAAGTCAACCATTTTTGATAAGATTGCATACGACTGGGCAGAGGGGAAAGACGAATTCCTGAAAAGATTCAAGCTTGTCTTTCTTTTAAAGATGTGTGCTCTGTTCCAAGAATCCGATCTTGTTGATTCCATTTTAGATCAACTTCTAGACGAAGATTCGGGAATAACAGAACATGAGCTTGATACAGTCATCCAGGCTAACTCAAATGAGGTCTTGGTTCTTTTGGATGGGTTTGATGAAATGAAGACCAAAACACTCAAAGCAGCCTCTTTCGGTTCTGTCCTAAAAGCACTCAATAGAAAAAAATACCGTGAATGTTGCATCTGTGTATCAACGCGCCCCTCTCGTCTTGAGACACTGATGTCAACATCACTTGTCCAAAATCCTTGCACACACGTGGAGGTTCTGGGGTTTACCGACGACGATGTTCAGGAATACGTTCGGAAATTCTATGAAACAACAGATCTTGATAGTGGCAAAGCACTAATCCAAACCATCGGAAAGTCCAACACGCTGCGTGATTTTGCGACAAATCCTATGTTGCTACTTCTTATGTGCCTATTGTGGAGGGAGAGTCAACAACTCCCAGAAACAACTTCACGTCTCTTCACTAAGGCAGTTAATTACATGTTCACAAGAAAAGACGAGGACAAGAAGAGAGTATCAGATGCAAACGTACCAAACGTATCAAAAACATTGAATGCAATTGGTCAAACTGCGCTGCGTGGACTCATGAGTGCCAACCAGACTTTCGCATTTCAAAAAGATGAGTTTAAACCGAAGGCACTGGACTTGGCACTAAAGGCAGGCATCCTGACCCAGCAGAGAGTTATCAAAAACCTTGCACCCCACAACAATATACAGTTCATGCACAAGACTATGCAGGAATACTGTGCTGCAAATTACTTGCAGAGTATTCATATGTCGAACCTTGGACTTGTAAAGCGTACGTTGTGCAAAGTTGTACCATTTGGAACATTTAAAAACAATTTAAGGCAACTTTGTCAAACAATTGAGGGCGTCGTTTCAAATGAGTTTCTCTTTCGTTTTTGTTGTGGTGACAATGAGAAGTGCATGACGGACATCGTAAACTTGCTTGACTATACGTTCAATAAAGATGAGCCCAGGTACCAATCAGATGTAGTACAGGCGATATGTCGAAACTGCTTCTTTGAAAGCCAATCAGCAAGGGCCCCACGGTGTCTCATCAGCGAATCGCATATCCCATCAAATATCACTGTGGGTAACGATAATGAATTTCGCAGTCTCATATACCTTCTAGAAATCATCTGCAGGTCAGACAGCCGCACAGAACAACTGGCACGCATTGAGACTATTCAGGTTTTTCGCGTGTCTCGATATCCGGTCAGTGATTTAGCTGTCGCCCTAGGTTACATGGAAAACCTCACGGATCTGAGGCTTGAGAAATGTTCTTTAGTGAAGGGCGATCTAGAGAAAACCACGTCCTCGATATGCAGCCAACGCTTGACCAGTCTTGACATAGTTGGTTGCAATACACTGGGAGGTAGAGCTGTAGAGTGGACCCCTCATATCAAACACTTGGCAAGCCTAGAAAAACTTCAAATAAAAAGCTGCGAACTACAGCGAACAGATATTGAACACATTGCTTCGGCTGTACGCGAAATGCCAAAACTGACTGACTTGATCCTTGCTGGCAACGGGGCATTGGGCGGATCTGCTAACTTGTGGGCCAAGAAATTGCCAAAAATGAATCACTTAAATAGGCTGAACCTGAACTTTTGCCTTTTGAGTTATGCAGACATGGAACACATTGCCGTGGCTGTACGTGACATGCCCAGACTGACGAACTTGACCCTTGACGGCAGCCTGGCACATACTAATTTGGATGGGTTATTGTCCGGCTATCCGTCGCTTCAGGGTCATGTACACAGTTACAGTTCTTTTCTGAAATATATTGATTAGGTTTTTGTTGGTTTTCCTTTGCAAGTTCTCGCTCATTCAACGAGGTGGGAAAACGGCATTGTTTTATTGTACTCAGTGGTCCTTCATTTGTCGTAGAACGGTGATTGATCAGTTATGGACAGCCAAGTTTTGTGATCTTTTTATTGAAATAGACATTGGGAATATTCAAATTACGTGACATTTTGACAGTTACAAGTCAATGAAATGTACTTCATCCATATGTTTGTTTTTTTTTTTATTGAAATGGAGCAAGCCTAAAATATTTAAAACTATTTTTTTCAAATTCGGTCACTTTCTTGACTCACCCTGTGTGGTCCTTTCCCGCAGCTACTTAGTGAAAAACGAATGTGGTTGGGCAATATTCGCACCAGTGGTTTCACAGGAAATTTAAAAAAAAAAAAAAAAAAGACGTTAAAGAATAGTCCATTTGAAGCAAGATACGTGACGGACTAGGACGCCCTCGCTTTGTGTTGGTCATTGTGATCTCAGGAATTCATTCGAGATATCTAAGGGGGAGGGGGGTGATAATATGCTACAATAGTCTAGAGTGTGTATAGTGTAGACGGACATTTGGGGGTATCGCCTGTCTCAAACCGTGCGTGTGTATTTTCAGTGTGTGCTGAACACAACTACTAAATTGACAAGATCTTCTCAGTAAAAATCATAGTTTTTTAGGCAAAATCTCACCCGTGAATGAAATCGGAGATTGTGCCAATTCCAAAGAACAAAACAGATCATTACAAAAATGTGTCATTGCAGGATGCAAGTTATAAACACAAACATCTTAAAGGGAAAATACAACATTTGCAAACATCAAAAAATAAATCTACCAAATTATTAGGAAATATCTTGCTGGACTGTTAGTGAATGACAGTCTAAAGCATCCTGTAAAATCATGGCACCTACTGTCATTTTCAAGAAAAGTGGTATTTTGTATCAATTTCCAACACTGGTTGGCCGACCAGCGTTGGAAAAAACTGGCTTTTTTCAAATACTTGCCCCAATTGACCATATTTAGTTCTAAGTCTGCATTTGTTTGCAATCGATTACACACCTGTGAATTGGTACAAGCCAGCCAGATTGGTTCCCTGACGTTACAATTCCCCAACGTCTATATATTGCTCAGTTTCATCTTAAATGGAGTCAGGGAAACAGACTACAGGAAAATGATTGTTTTTATTTTTTTTTATAGCATCTACGAACCCAAAACGTCAAAAAGTCAGTGTAACAATATTTGCTATAAAATACTAACCTCCCAAATCCATCCATTTCTGAAAATTACAACAACAAATGATGTATACTCTCGATTCACATCGTCAGCAGGGTCACGCTGCGTGTCGGACAATTAGCTGTTATCCCTATATACGTCATCAAAGTTGAAGTCACTCTTATAAAAGTCCTGGGACAGATATAACCCCGAATTCGAGTCAGATTGGACCTGACTCTCTTCTGGGTCAATATGACATTTTTTTACTGTAAAAAAATGACATTTTTCCTTATCAAAACGACAATTGTATGGGTTAAATGGCTGGAAAAATTACTCAGAGGAGCGTCATTTCGACCTGGAAAAGTGTCAGGTCAAATCTGACCCGGATTCGGGTCCAATCTGACCCGAGACTTTTTAGAGTGTATGTGCTTTGCCGATTGTACATCAGGCAACATTTTAAATTGGCAAACAAAATTATAATAGGCTTCGAATCTGTACGCGTGTGCAAGAAAACATCACTGATTTGAAAATCTAGGGAATGTATGATACTGGTTGATTTCTTACCAAACACTGAGGCTGTTTGGGCGGTTTGGTGCATTTCCTTCACAAGATGAAACTTGTTGGCCAAACAATTGTATTTAGGTATAACGTTAAAATAGTGGGTGCGCTTAGAGTTGTTTTGGGATTAATCCAACCACTGATGATAGATGTTCATTTTTTGTAAATACAATTATATTTTTAAAGAGTGGTTGGCCTGAAAAATGATGGTATTTGTGTAAAAACGTTGAAAACCAACAACCAACTATAGGGTACCGGTAATAACAATCCAATAATATAAATAAAATTGTCTTTTTATTTTAAAGAAACATACACATTTTACATATTGTTTATATATATTGTTTATATTTTGTCTAAAACCTTTGGTGTTAAGATTTGTGTGAAGATCTCTTTTGAATACTGTACGAGTGAAGCAGTAACTGTTAAAGGGGATGAGGTTCTCACTGGACTACCAAAATGTGGATAAAGACACTTTTGGCATAATTTGGATGAAATTAAGTGTGATGTTTTCAGAATGTAGAAATGTGGAATGTTTGACTTTATTTATGAAATTCTTTCAATGGAAATATAAGTTAAAAAAATTCAAATGAGTAGATTATGTTGTTAAGGTTTTGTCCATTTATATCTCTTATCACACATTAATACTAAAAAAAAATGGACAATTCTTTTTTTGCAAGAGTGGAGTAGATGTATGGATTGCATTCCGGTTCCATTAATCTCAATTCATCGTGTTTGTATCTCACGATTGTAGTGTGATCGATAATTTTGTGCCAATTGTATTCTGATATGTTGCATTATACCCTAGAAGGCTCATGCAATGTAATTTTCAATGCAATCATTGAAAATACACCTTTTACAAGGGTGTTTTAGTGCCTTTTGGGGTTTTTTTTTATGCTGATGCGAATTTCCATATTCATGAGCGAAAGTGTGATGCCATTTCAGGCAGAACTCTATGTTCCAACAAGTTTCAGCACCAAAAGTTGCAAAAAGTTTTGATTTTTCGCTGTCCTAAATTTTCATTTCGTTACAGATTCGTTTTGTCAGTACATGGTAGTTCACCAATGAGAACCTTTTCTCACAAATATTTTTAATAAGCTGATAGTATTTTTCGCCTATACTACAATGTTTTGGCTCTATCATTTTAATTATTGGACAATTTCTTTCAATATTCAACAGACTTGTGTTGTATAAAGGACGGACGATAAGTGGATGAAATTTCAATTTGTTACAATTGGTATTTCTTGAGTTATCGTCTTGAGAGGTATTTCTTGAGAAACCAAGTACGTTGTTTTCATTCCATGAAAGTGGACTTCAATTCGGGTTGCGTTTTTCGTGCTTAAAACCCCTTTTTTTTTGTTATATTATTTTTGTTATTGACTTTTAGTCCCAATTTTCAACAGAATTGTGTTACACATCACAAGTAATTAATGAAGGAAATTTTGATTCTTTAAAAGAAGTACAATTATATTTCTTTTGAGTTATCGTCTGGTAACTGAGTGTGTGTTTTTTTTTCCATGTAAGTTGACTTTAATTTGTTGGTTTATTGGTCAACAAAGGGCGCGCTACATAAATAGTGGTCCCCTCCTAAAAAAATTTGTCACACTGCGAAAAGCAGGTACTTCTCTGTATTTCTCGTTCTAAGTAAATTCATCAGGTTTGATTAAAAAAAAAACATGGCTACACTTGTGCTTGGTTTTTGAGCCTTTACGAACTTCTTTGTAATGCATGATTATAAACGTACAATATTTGAATAACTTTCGGCATCTTGCGAAGTTTCGGGAGCATTGATGATTATTAAATAAGTGAAAAATATCGGTACACATATTTTGGCTTTTTATGTTTCAGACTAATCATATAACCGGGTCTTGGTCAACGAAGATCACATTATGTGTTACATTCACTGAAAACGTTGAAAAATTGTATACATCTGACGTGGTGGCTGTTTTTGTCTTGTCTATAATTATACTTGCAAGGTGCACTACAAAATCCCGAATCCTTAAAGCGCCCTCTGTTTCACAGCTTTTTAAAAGAAGTCATCGCAAATATCTATACATATTTAGAGAATATAGTCTGTTAGCTTCTCAACAACAACAAAAATATATTGAAATGCGTAAATATTCATTGAGTTATTTGCCGATGTTTCAATTCAATGGCCATTTGTCAGGAGTGTATATGGATTTGGGGTGAGGGTATGGTTTTTAAATGTTTTCATATTTATTTATACATTTTGTTCGCGTTTTTTTTAATTTTTTGTTCAACAATGGTCAAAAGGAAGTAATGTTAGTCCTGAAAAGAACTGTGTGGCAAACGTCTTAGATGTTTACTTTGCTGTTATGTCTCTGCCCTCTTCTTGGTAGCCTCTTTTTCACAACTGTTACTATTTTTTGCTGAGAAAATATTTTCGGTACAAAAAAATTGTATGTGGTAAGCAGCTAAATGAAATGAGGCCATACTGTGCATGGGCTTTGCTAGGATTTTTTTCTAGAGTGGGCAAAGCATGTTTTGCCTCCCCAAATCTTTGTATTATCTCTGGCATATTCTCAATTGATCTTTTTTTTCGAGGGTGGGCTGGGGACATTTGCCCGAATTACCCCCATTCAAGGGCGGATCCAGAACACACTTTTTGGGGGAAGGGGGGCAAAACAAATTGTCCCCAAGAAAAAAAATCGGCGTGCAGGTCGCCCCGATTATTGTTTGGATTCTGGATGTTCTGCGGTGCGATCTGAGACAATTTCTGACCACTTTTACCAATTTTGAGGAAAAGATGATGGTGTACGCATTGGCTGCCTTTTTTGTAACATCGCTTAAAAAATAGAATTGGGTTCGTTTAATGTTTTACTGACTGTTGTACCGGTGATGGTTGCAACTCAGCCCCCGTCGCTATTTCCTAGGGTCGGAGACAGACCGAAGCCGAGGTTGGAAAGACGACCTGTGGTAAAATGGGTTTCGGGGAACCAGCAAATGTAGCGCCCCCATCGTTAGACAAAAAAACGTATGTTATGATATTAGAGAAATGGAGCCAAAATAATAAATGGAATGCTGAAGTTCCTATATATATTCTCAAATTCCAAAATTTCTCTGGGAGCATGCACGGAACCCCCTGGCAAGGTCCGGTACGCCTTCACTCACCTCCCCCCCCCCACCCCTCCCCTCCCCTCCCACCCCACCCCACCCCACGTTTCCTGATAATTGGATCTGCCCCAAATCGTTGGCCTATTTCCAACATTTAGATCCAGTGTACATGGGGAATTTTTCGTTTTGAGAAAACGAAGAAAAGCTCCCCCCCCCCCCCCCCCCCACCGCCTCCTTCCACCCCGGCAGTCATGGAAACATTTCTTGAGGGCGCACTTACCATCGAGTGGGACTGCGTTTATGGTCATGTCTTCGTTAAACAGGAGAAATGAATATCGGGGGAGTATTTTTAGATCGATGTTGTAAAGTATGCAACTTTCTAAAATAACAGACTATTCTAAATAAATAAGTAAGGATTTCTTGAAATGACTTCCTTCACGATGGAATAACTTTCCATACCAATCATCTGGGGTGGCAGAACCGGGGGGGGGGGGGGCACTTGCCCCCCGGATCATTGGATAAGTTATCCAAGTGTCCTCTCCTCTTGCGGACATAAAGGTGCCCCCTCGAGCATAAATGTGCCCCTCGAGATGAAAACAAAACTGGCCCTAAAATTGCAAATAATTTATTCAGTAACCATTTCCCAAAATGGTATAGAGATTTCTGATATGTTCCAGCATTATGAAAACCAAGCCCGAAAACCCTAATACAAATGCGTGGTTTTGACGAGCGCCCCCTATTTCGAAACAAGCGCCCCCCCCCCCCCCCCCCCCCCCCAGTATTTGATTTTACGGAAGCAAGTGCCCCTTTTTGATGACACCCCCCCCCCCCCCCCTCCAGTTTGAAAACCGTTCCGCCGCCGCTGCCAATCATTGACAATGATTACATACAGCCGAACTTTGTTTTGTGATTACCATTTTTATGATTACTTAAATATGAAAGCATGAGAACAATTATTATAAATGAATGTAGCTCACACGAATATTGGCCTACTTTGTACGCTCTCGCGCTTACTGCAATAAAAATCTAAATTTCGTGAATATTGAAGTATTATTATACTTATGATTTCGCACGAATACAGTTGCACACTGTTCCTTGATCTATGGTCACACAAACAAATGGCGTAAGGATATTGTCGGCTATTTTGACGATACAAATTCAACATTGAGTTTAAAGAGAAAAACATCGCCTTACGCGGCGTCAACATCTTTAATCCTCACCCCTCCCAGGAGAATGGAATCGACCACCTCTTAAGAATATCGAATTATTGAGGCGCACGTCGCGTCCAATTTGTACACAACACATCTTTCCTTAGGCCGTTGGTTGAGCGCCAGGCTATACAGAAAATGTAAAAAAAACACACTCGACATCGAAATTTGTTGTTGCCATAAAAATAAAAGACAATAATCTCTTAATTTCTCTAGCAGCAGACTGCTCGAGTTAATAGACCAACATTCTCTCGGGAGAATACGACGGTTGAGCTAATCTAAATTTGGATTGATACCCCTCGAAGCGCAAACTGACGGTGAGTGTAAAATTGATTATGGAGCTAATTTACATATTTTATTCGTCTGGTTGTGCGTGCCTGCTCTGATGCACAGCCCTGTGTGCTTTTGGAATTATTATCCGGGAAAACTAAATGTACATTTGGTTTGTCTTGGAATTATTTAGAGCTCGTATAGTATGGTTGATTGTGAATTTGTAATGAGAAGCAACAAGAATTATTCCAGTGTATTCTTGTGTGTATTGAAAAAGAGATATCTTCTGTTTTGCGTGTAGTCCCTATCATTGTGCCTTTCATGTTGTATGTAATTTATTTTCCTCAAGTAAAAGACAAAAAAAATATGGCTTGCAGTGTAAATGTTCCATCGTTTGTATGCTGACCGATATCCTCACTTTTATATACAATAAATTTCTTTGGTAAATTCTTTCCCTTTCATATTAAAATGAGACCTCTATTTTTTTGTAATCATTATGAAATTGCAAGTGTCTCATAAATTCTAGTTCATTGACACTAGTGATTGGTTATTGTCACAGCCCACCCCCCCCCCCAAAAAAAAAACCCAAAAAATACATGCGTTTCTCTTTTTCTAAAATGCAAAATAGCATTTTACGTTCACAAAACAGAGAGAGATGATAATGTACTGGTGTGCTTTTAGTATGATGCATTAACATGTATTATGCATTCCTTGTAAAATGGCGACCGACTTGGTCGTGTTGTATGGGCAGTGGCATGTTATTACCTGAAGTCAAGTGCGAAATTGCCATCAGACAGTTACACACGTGAATAACTGCGAGCATTCACACAGAACGAACATGAGGCTGCATTTAAAGGGGAAAAATAGGCCACTATTGTTGGTTCATTGAGGGTGATATAAGGTCCGTCCATATAGGTGGGGGCGGACATTTTTACATTTGCTTAGCTCCCAGACCAATGTTCTTGAGCCTCAATGGTTCTTGAGTTTGGAGTGCTAAATGATAACACACAAGCTGGCGTCGTGTGGGGAGGGGGAGGGGGTAAAGGGGGCGCTTGCCTCCTCCCCCAAGTGGAGAAGACACACACACACACGTTTGTTTATGGTGTAAATCGAGGATTTTCTTTTGTTCCTCTTCCGTTTTCCTTTGTTTGTACTTTACTTTTTCGCAACAGCTCTAATTGGTTTTTGTACACGTTTTTTAATCGAGGTTGTCCTCGATTTGGTTCCTGTCCTCGATTCACCAATGATGTTGTACGTGTGAGTCCTCGATTTACACCATAAACAAACGCACATTCACACACAAAAGGAAAGAGAGAAAGTGATTGCTGTTCATTTAATGCACATTAACGACATGGGCGTCCGCAGGGGTGTCAATCGGGCGGGATGGGCAAATGTCCCCCGCCCACCCTCGAAAAAAAAGACAAATTGCGAATATGCTAGAGAAAGTACAAGAATTTGGGGGAATGGTGTGCTTTGCTTCCCCCCCCCCCCCCGAAACAATTCTGGCAACACCCATGGTAACACATAGCAACCAATGAAAACTGGTGTGCAAATGAATACATTGTAGATGTTTTCATCTGGATGACGTCAGCCCGCCCCCACCTACATGAGCGAGAAATTACGGAGGAGAGATTGGGGGGGGGTGTTCCTTTAACATTTTGGTTAAAAACCAATGGGTTTGTTTCTCAAGTAGCAATATATTATAATTTGACATAAAAATAACGTTTTGTTCAATTATCATTGGTAATGCGATGGACAGTAGGAATAACTGTGTTGAAGGATTCGTTAGCGATACTGAAGCAGGTTGTCCCCCCTAATGCAATTTAGATGAGCCTTACCGCTTCTGAAATGGTTGCGGATCATCAGGGATTTACGTTGAGAGCCTTATCCCCTTACTCACCCTAAGCCTTGTGACCCCCCCCCCCCCCCCCCCCAAGGGAATCATTTCTTTCCCTCCGATTCTCTAAAAAGATGCCTAAACGCTGACCCCGAGGAACAGGCGTGTATTGCTTTATTGTTGAGTTATTCCAGCAGCGTATCCAGCTTTTGATATGGGGGGGGGGGGGCAACCGCACGTCCGCGCCGAAATGAAGACATGTTTATTTTTTTCTCCGGACACTAACTTGGCCTCCGTAAAATCAAAAAGCGGGGGGGGGGGGGGGGACTGGTATCATCTTCCAAATGGGGGGCGCTCTTCAAAACTGACCATTATTATGCATACTACATATTATATGACATTTTTAACGGCGCATTGTAATGGTGGTTGAGCGGGTTCGCTTTTGTGGCAATGATGTCAGAAGAACTCTGTAAACATTTATTTAAATCGTTGCTGACAAAAAAAATTTGCCAAAAAATCCCCCCCACCCCCGCTGGATACGCCACTGTTTTATTCCCCTATAGCAGAACTTGGCTTCCGTCGTAGATCCTCGCTAGCTAGCCAGGGGGCAGTCTTGCGTTGCGTCTGCAGTCTTACGACTGACCACACCCTGGCTAAGGAGGATGGACTGCCTCGAGCCCGGATGGTTTATACGTCAATATAAAGTATATAGAGAAAGACAATTTGCCTCTCTCTGACAAGTGAGGTGACATGTCACACCAAAAATGATCACGGTTTGGAGCTACGGATCTCCACAGTTTGCAATTTGTGATAAACAGACTGTGGGAGTACCATTTCCATTCTTAATACACTCCGTGGTTATCCGTCATCTTCCTTGGGTACTCGTGGAGGGGTTACTGAAGTTTTAACTTTACTGTTCATAACTGCCGTGGTAAACCGTCATAAACATTAATAGTGCAACCGTGGGACATCCGTATGACAACCGTACTTATTCGTAGTGTTATTCGTGGCTATTCTTGGAGATTTGCAGCTCATTCGTGGTAATCTCTACGAATTAGCAACGAATGACCGGATGTGCTGGGTTCTGCTAAGGTTACTATACGAATATCCACGCTTTATTCGTAGGAGAACCGTGGTCATCTGTGACCCAGTCGCAGACAACCGTCGCGTTAACGTCATTATCCTTAGTAATACCGTCGGTATTCTTCACCAATCCGTCTATGTTCGTGACAAACCGTGGTGTATTCGTAGATAAACCGTAGGACTGTCGTGGCTATCCGTCCTGAAACCGTAGTGCATTCTTAGAAAGTTGATTTTTCCACGAATCTCGACGATTTATAGTGATCGATTGATTCTTGGTAATCCGTGGATATTCGTAGCTCCAACCGTGAATGTGTGACTTGGGCTTTACATATGTACTTGTAGATCATCCAAGACCAAAGACTAAGAACCCGCCAAGACCATGAGCTTTAAAACTTGATTTAAAATGTTGAAAATCGTACCAAAAACGTAGGAAATGTGGCGCCAAATTCAAATTTCGTCTACTGAGCTCCAGTCTACAGACAGTGATCAGTAAGTGCTGCGATGTCGTCCCGAATATTACGACTCCGAAACGACCTCGAACCGAATATTACGACTTCGCTACGAATTGGATCCGTTCAATGGATTTTTTGACGACTGAGTCTCGATCTCGTTGCGACAGAGTACCGACACAACCGATTGAGTACCGATACAAAAGACTGAGAACCGATGCCGAAACAACAAAATGACGTCATTTTCGGAATTTTACGTCGTAATGGTCGTTTCAAAGTCGGCAAAAAAAAATGGCCGACCATGTACGACCACTGCCGATATCGCAAATACTATTGCGATGTCGTAACGACTCCGTTAAACGTTTGAGTACAGACAGAGAACGGATGGATTCTGATCCGTTTTGGATTTTGCCCACCATCAAGATTTGTTTTAACTGTTGAAACTAATCGTGGCTTCACTGCCGACCATGCACGACCTGTAGGATGCCGAAACGACGCTCAAGAAGTCGCTCCGGTAAAGTTGATAAGTCGTTGCGAGTTTCACAATGTCGTCAAGTCTTGCGTCTCAGCACTGTCTTATCGCGATCGAGAGGCTACATCGTGACAGTGTGACAGGGGCTTAGGACTGTGCGTGTGCCTAAATTACTGACGCATTGAGCAGACCAGTGGCGTAACTATAAGGGAGGGACAAGGTGCACGTCCCCGCTCAAAATTGGAGGGAAGGCAACCATTGTTGAGCTTTTTATTGTTAAAAAAAACCTTTGAATGTATGCCCCCTCCAGCAAAAAGTAATGAGACCCCCCCCCCCCCAGCCCCCTCTGCCAAGTTACTAATGAGTTTACACTGGTTATATTTCGGGTAAATTGAGATTTCCCCCTGATTTCGACAGATATGGAATCATCTTTCTGTGATCACACCGAGATACGACACGACGGACGGGAACCGTGAGTTTTCAAATTTTCCGTCTTGTTTTCGTCTTGTTCTAATTCTTAGACTTGTTCTTATAGATACTTTATTAATTTTAAATTCTCCTATGTTTGCTAATATTTCCAACGCAACCATATACGTATGGAAGGCAAATCCAAACTTTACAATGTTTACTTTATGTTCAATTCATCTGCCTAAATTTCTGTAGGCAAGCTGTTAGGGGAGCGATTCCTCGGCTTATATAGCACCGATATTAACACACAAGGTCTTAATATGAAAAAAAAACGACGATAAAAAAAATACAGCTTTGACAAATCGGCAACAAAAAAGTTGAATATCGCCCTCTTGTGACCTTTCAGTCCAATTTTTTCTTTGACAACGGCTGTTTGATGTTTTAGCAAATAATGTGAAGGGATTATTCATTGGCGGCATAAACATGCAATGGTTAATGGTGCGGATCGCACGCGGCCGGTTGGCCGCGTGCGCGTCGCGCGGCATGCATGTGCAACGCACGTACATACGTCGTGTACGACGTCGTACACGACGTACGTAAGTACGTGCGCGGCATTTATGCATGCAGCTCAGCAAGTAAGCACACTGGCCCCACCTGACAGCATTGTGACAGCCGACGTATGGGCGTGAGTGGAATGGCCCCAAAAATGTCATATTTCAGCTGGGAAAAAGAAAACAGCATCATAAGAGCTTTGATTTTCGAAGTCCTCAGATCCGTCTGTGTCGCCGTGTAAAAATCAGTGATGAATTTCCTTCGCAGAGTGGTAAAATTTCGCCGGGGAGCATCGAATGCAAGTGACGGTGGTGCAGATCGGGAGAGTTACGAAGATGTTGATCTAGGTACCGGGGGAACGGACGGTGGGTCAACGGGGCGATTGCGCCGAAACACGGCCGAGTTGGCCAGTGGATTCGGTAGCATAGTCGGTGGTGTTGGGGAAGTGGATGCAGACGCGTTAGGATTGTGTGAAGGTTGGTGATTTCTTTTCTTGAAAAGTACTTAAATTTCATGATGTTTTATGTCCGTGATTATGTTTTTTTTTAAATTTAATTGAATGATAAGGCCAAATAAAAAAAAATACATGTTTAGTGTCCTGCTTTTTTGAAAAAAAAAGAAAGCAGGATGCCTTTTTTTTTCCTCCTTCAAAATGGCAGCCCGACCTGGCTATTTTTCAAGATGGCCTCAAGTTTTTTTGTTTTTTTAAATGACCGCCATTGGACTCAGGTAATGACATGGGCTAGATGCAATACACAAAGAGGCCAAAATGATGTCACTGTTTAAAATTTATCATATTTTCAATAAAAAAAAAAAGAGGCGGCTTCCTAAAAGGAAGCACGTGGGAAGCTAAACATGTTTTTTTTTTATTTGGCCTTAAAGTCTTAAAGTAAGATTTTTTTTCCGAAAAAGATCATTGAATTTATTTTAAAAAAATTTAATTCCCAAAAAAAAAGGAAGCGGGCGGGGATGCTAAACATGTTTTTTTTTCCTTTTCTATTTGGCCTTGCATTTATATTCTACCCAAAATAGTAAATAAAAAAAACAGTTTCTAGAAAATGTACTCTTACTATAGTATAATATAATGGACTTTTTCTTTACTGTGGTAATTTTTCACCAGTACCTACATCTTTAACTGTTGAAGTGTGCCAGTTTTTGTATATTTCTTATTTATTTACTCCATTTTGCTACTTATGTTGAAAGGTATTAATGTGACAAAAGGTAATGCAAAGTTCAATTGGTTTGTATGTGTACTTATATCTCAAAAACAGAGGCCACCCCACCCCCTAAAAAAAAAACCAAACAAAACCAAAACATATTTTCTGCGGCCAACATTTGGGCAACATTTTTTGAAAAATTCAAACTTCTACAAAAATTGGGGGAAACAAATTTGTGAGCCCCCCCCCCCCCCCTTCAAATCCTGGGTGCGCCACTGAAAGGTCCGGTAACTTGACTTGTCATTTTCAACCGTAGATGAGTTTACTGTGGAGCAGGCAGTGGAAGCAATTGGCTTTGGATGGTTCCAGATTAAGATATCGGCACTCGTAGGATTTTGCTGGGTATGTTGTGAGGTCTTCATTTCTCCCTCATATTTAATTCCAGCTGAGCACTTCCATTTTTTTCTCCGTGAAGCTATTACAAGCATTAATATGTCAAGGGAAAAAGGAGTCTGACTTTGTTAACTCAGTTAATATTCCTGTACTGTACGTGTACCGTACATTATTGTTTATTAGCTTAAAGGGTTCATGTGATGAATTTATCTTAGGAACATATGTTGTGCACTTTTCTACTCTCTTAAATGTATGAAAACTATTTGACATGAATTCCTTTTTGGTTAATTTTATTGAAAAGTGCACTTCATTTTGAAACATTTAAAATTGTCCATGCTTTTTCCGAACAATTGAGGGCACTGTTGCTGTGATGTCATTTCAGGAAGACACTGTTCAGTTAAGGGTTTTTCTGTTCAAATTGTGGACCCAAAAATTAGTTCATTGAAAACGTTTGCTCACTGGCTTACAACAACCAGTCATAAAAAAGAGCATTTACATACAACAGAATATCCAAAATTATGGCAATTTTTGGTGCTGAAATAGCTCGAACATTGAGGATTCTGCCTGAAATGACATCACTCATTTGCTAATGAAAATGGAAATTTGCATTAATTAGCAAAAAAAACAAAAAGGCACCAACAAATACCCTTGAAAATGGCAAAACGAAAATTGAAAATAAGGTTATGAAAATCGGACACAAAGCTGCATTTTCAAGGATTGCTTTCAAAATATTACATTGCATGGGCCCCTTTAAAAACAGAATTACTTTTCATTTTAAAGTTTAAGTATAAAAGTTAAAGTAAATTTGAACGAGACCTCAGATTAAAAAAATAATGGGTCATGTTTAGATGGTACCGGTACATATAAAATTTACATCATACGAATTATGCATTATTTGAAGCCTAACAAAAATTCTGCCGGATCTTTTTATCCATTAGAAGTGCCAAAAATATCAAAATGAAAACTTTTTACAGAGGGTTGCAGAACTAAATGGTTTTTTTTACAGTAAACTGAAATTAAAAAAAAATTAAAACAATCTTGAAAAGCACAGGGCCGAGAACAACTTTATAAGGAATTAAGATATTTCTTCTTCGTTAGAAATTTCATAACAACCGTTCTCTTGTGTAGAGTGTTTGGTACATTTACATATAATCCTCACTTTCCTATGAACTATTTTGCTAGATCAAATTAAATTTTCCCACCTAAATCTTGCCAAAACTTCAGTGAATTTTTGCCAATCGTGGAAGGGATTCACTCCAATTTTGATGATGCCTGAAGAATGGTGTTATTGTATTTCCGTTTCTTTTCTTCCATTCAAAAACACTGAAAATCTGCAGTACAGGGTGAGTAAAAAAAAACACCAAATGTCGGGACTATTGTTTTAGTAAAGTTTTGCATGTATTTTTTTTCTAAACCTAGGATATGAAAGCCAAATTCATAAGTTTTCTGTTAAAGTTCTGTCCATGGATCACATAAAGGCAAGTGTTCTTTCAGCAAAATAAAAAACAAATCACATAGGGATGTGTGTGAATTGTTTTCGTTTTACTGAAAGAACGCACACCTTTTTTGTGATCCGTGGACAGAACTTAAAATGGTGGTTGTGTTTAATATTCCGTAACTCGAAAAGTACTTAGGTGATTTGAATGATTCTTGTGCTAAAAGAAAGCTTTTGAATTGGGCTGTCACATCCTAGATTTTGAAAGTGCTACATGCAGAACTTCACTAAAACAATGGTCCCGACATTTGGGTTTCGCTTTTTTTTACTCATCCAGTACAGAAGTATGCAGGCTATGTAGCAGCCTTGAATTATAATATGAAACTTTGCATGGTGGAATGATGCACAAATGAGGTCGTTTTTTTTCTGAAGCAACCAGTTGTCAGAGGTTATTATCAAAATAATCTATTAACCATGAAATGTCTTCAAATACTCGTACAGATGGCGGATGCAATAGAAATGATGCTCTTAAGTATTATTTCTCCGGAGCTGAGATGTTTGTGGAATCTTGAACGTTGGCAGGAAGCCCTTATCACCACCGTTGTCTTCATTGGAATGTTCACCAGCTCCACGCTGTGGGGGAAAATGTGTGACAAGTACGGAAGAAGAACGGTAAGTTGGGACAATCTTCTAGTCTTCTTTTCTTTGTTTCTTCATTGAAAATAAGGGAAACTTTAGTTCCATCCCTGAGACAATTTACAATGTCATTTGAAATAATCCTTGAGAGTATTGGTGAAATGTTTTGTAATAAACCCTTAAATTTGTATCCTCCATGCTCTTCAACAAATTCTTTCTTTTTTCTATTAACAATTTTTTAACTTGTAAGTTTTATTCCGACCAAAAACTGGCTCTTTTTCGTTTTTTGTTTTGGGCATAAACAGATCTGCTTTGCAAAGAGACTGGCTCCCGGTCTGTACATTATTGATACCAATTGTGGGGCGGAAACCAGCCTACCCAGCGAGAATGGGAAATATTGTCGGGCAGCCAGTAACTCGAACTTGTACATTAATAATTCAATACATGTCACTAAACATGGGCCGATATTTTTCGGTCAATGTCTCACACGAAAGTGGCAAAATCGTCTCTTGCTTCATTTGACCTGACTCCTGAATTAACTGACAAACTAACTCATAATTGACTCGAAAAAACTCGGCCAAGTCAACCCAAATATACATTTTGGTTTCAGACCGGCGAACCTTACGTATTAGGCCTATAAGGCATAGGACCATTTGCTTTTCTTGCATTTTGTTTCCAATAATAACACCACTCAAAAACCAACACCACTCGAAATCCAAAGAAGAATGTTCAAAAGCAAATGTTTCAGGTCATTGGAAATTAGACTTTCCGAGAAAACAGTAAAAAAAACATGCACTACAGGTATTGATCACGAAACACGATTTCGAGCAGCACTCTTAATTTATTCCCCCCAAAATCAATCAATTTACAGATCGTTGGAAATCACATACTTTCCCCATGTACCGGTAAATGACATCAAGCCAGACAGATTAAAATCACACAGGCGTTTAGTACCAGTACTATAATCCAAGTAATAAGCAATAAACTTTATTTACCTTTCTTTAATAACAGACATAATCTCCAGCGCCTTGAGTACCTAATTGTTGGTAGATCCGTGCGCTTTGGGGATAAATTATGCAAATTATCCTATAAGCCATTCATTTTGCCATTCGATTTCACTGTAGTTTCAAAATGTGCAAGTCAATCTTTTGCCAACTTCCATGTGAAGTCAATCCTCAAATGTTGAACTATAATATAAAATTTCCTCTGAATATTTGGACTGCTGCAACTCTGAAACGCTAGTCTGAAACGGTGTAAGGTTAAAATGTTGTTGTTATGATGTATGTCGTTTGCAAACAGCATCATTTGCATATTGACACGGCTTTGAATAGGATGCTGACATGTGTTGGTTCAGATAGCCAAGGACAAATTGATCTACCGGGGTATTCAGTGAAAACCACAGCTTGGTGTCACTTTAAATAATGCACAGATGTTTTTGTGTGTGTAGGCTTCTATTTTTCGAAAATAGCAAACCAAGTAAGGCAAAAAATAAAGAATTACTGGGTACAATCACTGATTGATTGTAAAAGTGGATGTCATACAACCTAGTTTTATCATTATAACCCTCCCATGCAAACATACACTCTTGGCAAAGTTGTCCTTTCAGTCGAAATCAGTCCAGTGACTGTTTTTAACAGTTAATAGCTCCCATTCTACAACCTTGGGCAGATCCTGGTGGGGGGTGGGGGCAATGAGGGCCATGGCTTCCCCCCCCCCCTCTCAAAAAACAAACCCAAATTGTTGTTTTTTCTTTAATTAAATTGACGTCGCAATAAAGGCAGGCACAAGCAGGCAGGCACAAGCAGGCACCACCATCTTTTCCTTAAAAAAAATTGGTTAATTCAACCAATTTGAACTTAAAGTGGTCAGAAATTGCCTCAGATCGCACCACAGAGCACCTACACGTACATGTACAATGTAGAATTAAGCAAACCGAGGGCCCTTGAGCGGGTGGGCCCTGAACCTCACGCCGTAAATTTTTGACACACTTTTCTTTTGGGGGGGGGGGGGGGACCAACATTTTTTGGCCCCCCCCCCCAAAAAAGTGTTCTGGATCCGCCCTTGCCAGTCTACCGGTACATACGTACAGCAGCATTGACAGGCTGTGACTGAGTAATTGATACAGTTTTGCTTGGACTGTTCAAGTAGGTGATTGATAAGCCAGCTGTGCCCACTACTTGCCTGCTTTTGTCTGTTGACTGAATTTGACTAGTCACAGTGCTTGCTTGAAATATGATCTGATCGTTGGTGACTACTAACTAGCCTGTGTAAAAGGCATGGCAGGGGAAGAGGATTGATCTTTTGACTGTCTGTGACTGTTCAGACAGCAGGAGGGTTGCATTTTATATTTAAAACAAGGGATTTATAAGTTTGCTGTTTTTTACATAAAAGATGAAACTAAGCCAACTTAACCTGCTTGGCACTTTAAAATTGAAGTAATTAATTTTTTTAAGACATAAATGTTCAGCATTTTTGTCAGTTTGTCTTCTGTTGACTCAAGCCTTTTTTCCAGTGGATCAGGTTCAACAATACTCATTGCAAAGGAAAGGGGTATTACTTTTTCTGATTATTTCTGACGCCTGAGTTTGTATTAACAAGAGTCGACTGTTACTATTTTGTTTATCAAGAAAATATCTCAGTGAAATTGATTGTTTGGGTAAAACTGATTTACCATCGGAGCCTAATTAACATGATTAAAGGTACATTATAGATCATTTGCTATTTGTGCATGTTTTTTCTTCATTTGAATCAACAAAACTGCTTGAAATCTGAAGTAGGGCGCTTATAACAACTTAGGTTTAGTTCGGTGGCTTCCATATCTTTTGGGAAAAAACATAGAATTCTGGGGGTCTTGTGACTGGATTCAGTTGCTAAATGCCTTTCAAGAAAAAGTGTACTCGAGGCACCTTTTTTTTTCCCCGATCAAAACCATTTCTGGCGGAATGCTTTCACAGGGTTTTTGGATCCAACAATGTCTACTTTGAAATCAAGTCATGCCTGGCTTAAGCCAATGAATGCTGCATTCAAATACTCTTGAAATGCTATTACACAGACAGCATACAAAAATCCTATAAATAAAACACACCATAAATTCCCCTTGGCTAACACTTTACAGATGTTTAAAGGTAGAGTAGATCATTTGCCATTTGTGTATTAATTTGTTTTGTTGAAGCAACAAAAGTGCTTATTTAAAGCCATTATTCATTTGCAGCTATCCAAAAAGTAACTGGTGTAATTATTGTTGAGAAACATACTTGGTTGAAAGATACGGTAGTAAGGGGACTAAACTCCCTGTGAAATTATTCTTTCTGGCAAGCTGTCATTTTGAAGAAATCAACGAAACAAGGCCTTTCCAACGGTGCATCTTAAGAAGCACCGTTGGAAATTTCCATTAGTAGTTCGGTGGAGTGCGCGCAAGCGTTGACACGACGCACACGCGCACGTGGTTGCTACAATTCATCGGATCGGTGCGCGACATCGCATTGCTGCATTCGGCTCAGTGAGAACTTGTCTCGGGCGCTGAATTCAGGCCCGATTCAAAACATGATTCAGCAACTTTTGATTTGAAATCGAGATCCTAGAATGATGTTTTTCTCGAAATATACAGCTGAAGCTGAGCTGAAACTTCATCAGGTTAGTTGTTCAGCACTCTTCTTTAGATTTTGAGCACTTTTGTTGCTTCAAACGAACAAAGTGCACAAATTACAAATGATGGACTATACCTTTAAGACGGGTGCTTAACAACTACCGGTACTAACCTGATGAAGTTTTACTTTTTGAATGCTGTATATTCCAAGGAAACAATATTCTAGGATCTCGATTTCAATTCAAAAGTTATATTTTGAATTGTTCCCAAAATCAGCACAGCCGTTTGCAGCTACGGTACATGTTGAAAAACCTGTGAAAAAAGTTGTGCGACCAAGTCTGCAGCAACAGGATCTGTACAGGTTTCATAATTCCAGGCATAGAATTAAACTCTATAGTCCAAGTCGACTTAAAGGTAGAGTTTATATGTCATTTGTGCATATGTTTTCGTTTGAAGCAGCAAAAGTGCCCAAAAACTAAAGAAGGTTGCTTATTAAAAGGGAATATTCAACATAAATTGCAAATATCAAAAAAACAAAACTACCAAATTATTATGAAATACCGGTACCTTACTGTATTGTTTGAATGACAGTCTACATGTATTCAGTTCTTCTGATTTGAAAATCACAGGCGTGTGGAAAAACGCACACCTGGATTTTTCTAGGCGTGTGATTTTTCTAGGCATGTGATTTTTCTAGGCGTGTGATTTTTCCAGCTGTGTGATTTTTCTAGGTGTGTGATCCTGTGGTCCAAGTTGGGACTGAACAATCTGGTATTTTTTTTCATAATATTCATCTTGGTTAACAATAAAGCCATTTTCTCTTCACCGACATACATGTACTTTATTTTTCACAAATTATGAAGTATAATTATGCCGTAAATGTATGCCGAGGTGTGCGGTACTGAGGGATTCAGGCGTGCGATTATTTGCACTTCTCAGGAAGCATTTAGGCGTGTGATGGCGTGGGGGTGTGATCGCACGCCTCAAATCAGAAGGACTGATGTATTTTAGCATCACACTGTAAAATCATGGCAGCTGGTGTGCTGACATTTTCAAGAAAAGTTGAATTTTTGTATCAATTTCCAACACTGCTCGGCCTTTTTTCAAATACTGCCCCTAATTTACCATATTTAGTTAGTCCGCATTTTGTTTGCAATCGACCACACACCTATGAATGGGTACAAGCCAGCTAGACTAGTTCCCTTCCGTGACGTCTATAAATTGCTCCGTTTTGTCTGCAGTGGGAACCAGACTACTGGAACATGATTGTTTTCCTTGGTTTTTCCAGCATCTATGAACACAAAACTTCAGGCAAGTCAGCATAACAATTTTGGTACAAAATACTAACCCCCAATGGCCCCAAATCCATCCATTTCTGAAAATTGCGGCAAAAGCAAATGTTTTGCCAGTATGTTCCCTTTAACAACTAACCTGATAAAGTTTTAGCTCT